TTATGATACTATGTTTTGATTATTGTCACTTTGGTTTTGACATGAGATATTATTATGAATGTTTCTATACTGATGATTCTATGTAATAACTTAATTAAAATGAAATTTTTGGTCTTGAATTTTGGGATGTTACACATGGCCCTATTCCATGCCCTAGGTATCCATTATAGCTTAGTTTGGTGTTTCTAGCTTCATAACACCATGCATACACGTAAAGTTAGCAACTTTACGTGTTATGCTAGCCAAAGGAGACCAAAGATGTGGCCTAGAAGCATTGGACTCGATTAGAATCGACTGAATGAGTTTGGACTAAAGGGAACTCGACGAGTCGCTCATGCAACTCGGCGAGTTGGATCGTAACCCTCTACTTTTCTGACTTCGAACCAACCCAGTGAGTCTAGGATACGACTCAGTGAGTTGGTCAAGGTTCTTTGGGTATGGAAGACTAAGGAACTCGTCGAGTTCAAGGAAGTACTTGACGAGTTCCTTGGAAATGTCTCGATTGTGTACAAGGTAGAACTCGACGAGGTGACTCGGTTTATCACGAGTCTGAATAGCATAGGAACTCGAGGAGTTAGGAGGTAACTCGACGAGTTGAGTTGACTGAGAGTTGACTTTGACTTTGACTTTGACCAAAACGTTGACTTTGACCAAGGGTAAAATGGTCATTTTACCCTTAGAAGGATTATCAAATTCTGACTAAGTGTTATTGTGAAATTAATAGCCGGGGAGTCGTTGGAGCAGTCGTTAGAGATTCCTCACACGAGATTTCACAGTTAGCTTACGAGGTGAGTTTTCTCCTGTAGGAACGGGTCTAAGGCACCAAGGCAGACTCGTTTAGATAATGGTAGTTCCGGACTACGGTCCGATGTCGGGCGGGGCCCAATGTAGGTTTATATGATTTTCCGGATTTCGATCCGAGGTCAAGGCGGTACCGAGGAATGTTTGTATGCTTGATGTCTTTGTGATTCTTGCATGTGTTTGTATTTGTATGTTTCCAGACTTCGTTCCGATGCGTGGGCGGTTCCTGAGGAATGTTAATATGTTTCCGAACTTCGTTCCGATGCCGGGGCGGTTCACGAGGCATGTTAGTATGATTCTGGACTTCAGTCTGATGTCGGGGCGGTTCTCGAGGAATGTTAGTATGTTTTCCGGATTTCGGTCCGATGTCGGGCGAGACCCGAGGAATGATTATATGTTAGTGTTATATGCTTATGTTATGTGTTAGTTGACATTCTCATATGTATGCCGAGATCTGCTTGATGCCGGGCGGGGACTGATGCTGAATAGGGTTCGATGTCGGGCGGGGCCCAATGTCGGGAAAGCCGATGCCGAGCCTGACTCGATGTAGTAGCGGCGGGGCCCAATATATGTTTATGTGATATGTGTATGGAATGTGGTAGTTGGGGGAGACTCACTAAGCTTCGTGCTTACAATTTTCAGTATTGGTTTTAGGTACTTCCACTAGCAAGGGAAAGGGCCCGGGATGACTTCATGGCACACACCATAGTTTTAACCTGGGATGATATACTCTGATATTTGCTATATGATTTTGATACATTGACAGATATTATGTTATTTTGAGTTGCACGACTTATGGTTTTTATATGATGAGTGATATTCATGGATTTTATTAATGATTTAAAACGAAATTTTTGGACCGTATTTTTGGGATGTTTCAAGTTGGTATCAGAGCCTTGGTTTGAGGGATTCGGACAGACTCTAGGGTGTGTCTGAACTCAAACTAAGGACTTGGTATGAAAAATTTTTCAAAAGAAAATCATTTTTAGAAAAGAATTTTGAGAAAAATAAAAAGAATTTTGAAAATAAAAAAAGAATCTTGAAAAAGAGAAAAGGGCGTGGTGCATGCAATCAGCCGAGCTCAAGTAAGTACTCCCAAATTACCCATACAAGTTTATGTTATGATATGTGTAATAGAACTACATGTTAGATTAGGACTAAGGATCTAGGAATGATGCTTTATGTGCCTGTTATATGTAAATGAGATTTATGAACTGCATGCTAGTACTGATTAGTCAGTGATATGATGGCCTGACTAGGATATGCTTGATTATGTGTACTCAATGCTCGAATGCTGCTTGCTTTGTGCTTTTAGGAATTCTAGTTATCTTTAACTAACTAGTAAACGAATATGTTAAGTTACATATTGCGAGGACTAAATAATTTCAGAAGGTTAGGTTTAGCTTTATTTCGCAACTCTCATTTGAGTCTAACCGTTGTAGGGTAGGACCTCTCATTCGAAGAATTATCTAGTGTTAGTGATATGTAATGGTATTCGCAAGCTAGTTAGGGGGAGATAATAGGGATTTCTTATGAAGCTGATGGCGGAGAGTGGGTTGGTGATTACCCTAGGGCCAGCCTAGGATGAGATTAGCGTGAGAACATCAGTAGCAGGATAAGGGACTTGGTGGAGTCAAGGTAGTTCTTGAGGAAAGTACGGATAGATATGGAAGGTAGTATAGGCCCGTAATACTGAAAGTAGAGGATCCATACTCGAATAAAAGAAGGCTGAGATGAATCCAGGGAACTTGTAGTGTGTGAGATCCCTCGAGTCATGACGAGTATACTTATGTTTGTTATGATGTGTTTTTCAGTATGGTGATATTACACACTAGACCAGTCGGCAGTTCAGGTGCCGGTGAGGGATCAGGCTCAGGCTCTGGAGCCGAGCAGCTAGTCGAGCAGATGAGGGAGTTCATCTCATCTGAGATCACGCGCAATATACTAGACCAGACTCCTGTGATCTTTGGTACGCGCAAGGAGGGTATCTTGGAGATTCTTGATGAGAGGTTGAGTGCTTTCCGCACTGCGATGGTGGCCATGCTAGGGGTCTGTACGATGACATTTAGGGAGTTCAGAGCTTGTGGAGCTCCAGATTACCATGGGGCTAAGGACCCCATAGCTAGCACAGGTGGTTGGCCGATGTCGCCAACGCCTTTTGTACGAGCAGATGTCCCGATGGGGACAAGGTCTGACTTACTTCTTGTCTTCTGAAGGACAGAGCACGTGATTGGTGGGAGGAGGTTAGACATGTCATTGGTGATGATGCAGTTTTAGATGCGATGACATGGAGTGACTTTTCAGCCAGGTTCAGGGCCGAGTTTGCACCTGTGATAGAGGTACAACAAGTATATTACAAGTTAAACATACAAACCAAAACAAAGTACATTACAAGTTGTTCATAATTTAACCCAAAATGACCTTCATTACAACTTGTACATGATTAAACACACAAAAAAGAATACCTAACTACATATTAGGTACACCTTCAACTTAAAAGACCTCAGATTGAAGCTTTTTGTTCGACCTAAACAACCCAATTATGACCACACCTTCATTGTTGCACTGCATTTCGTCAGCCCAAGCTATAAAACCTGAACGAGCATCCTGATTCCAATTATTTGCTTGAATCAGTACATGTTAAACAAACTAGGGTTAACATCAGAAATTGAACAAGTGGTAAATTACCTTTTTGGGACATGCATAAAAGGGCCTTCCTGGGTTATTGGTAGTACGTGATGTTCTTATTATAGCCTCAACTCCACATCCACATTCCATGTTCTTCATTATGTAGCTTCACAGTTGAGAGTATTTGAAGAAGAAAACAATGTGTTAGAATGAAACAAGTAGGTATAGAAGAAACTTCTAAGTAATTGCTAGTATTTGTAAAAGACTAAATTGCCCCCACTGTGCAAGGCACGTGGGGTCACTAGCATCCCCACTTTTTCCTTCTTCCCATTACTATTGCACTTTCAACAATTTTTTTTTTATGAAAAATAACAACTAAATACGATCATAAGCAATGAACAAAGAATATCACCGAAGCTTACAAAATTCATATCATTTAGACAGGTCTTTCATTCATCATTGGAGTTCACTTACAAAATGCCTATCATTTAGACAAGTCTTTTACATATTTCTCCAAAAAAACAAATATAAAAATAAAATCAGAAAATCTACATACTAATAAGCTTCTTAACTACGAACCACCATTGTTTCAAATCCACCCATCACCCAAGCTTAAGAACGAAATGGAGCACAACCACCAGCAACAAGAGCATCCCTACCATCATGCCACCCATCACAACACCAATGACTTTAAACTTCTGATCATGGTCATCCAGCTTGTACTGGAGACTGATGTGGTCGATCCTGCACACGATATAGTCCTATCCGAGTTGCTCCTTCAACCATTGCATTTCATTTTGGTTTTCTGAAATCTTCTGACCACATTCACCGAAGATTGGGTGGAGCACATTGTAGTTGATGTCTTCACTAGAATTTAAAGAGTCATGTGAAGGTAGTGGAGTCGACATTGTTGCTTTTTAAGGATTCTTCACGATGATTGTTTGGCAGAATATGGTAAACAAGTTTCAGGGCTGTATTACCTCAAACCCCATATGGTCGTGTCCCCTTTTAATTCAAGATTGTGCCTGGAACTCAATCGACAATGCAAGGTTGGTGGGGGTGTTGGTAGAAACTAAAGGCAGTCATTACTATTTGCATGTGTGTCATCGAGTGTGTCGAATCAACTCAGTATTGACTCAATGAGTTTACTCACCTGTTGACTTGGCAAGTGATGAGGCAAGTTAACTTGCTAAAATGGGTAACATGACTTTTCCTATCGATAACACACAAGTATATACCCTAAAAATGCAAAAAATAGTCACAAAGAACCATTTAAACAATTATACGTAACTTTGTTGGACAACAATGACAATAATCCAATTTTATATTAATAATATAAACTTATACAAGTAAAAAAAGAAAATGAAGATCCCTATTATCCTTTTAGGATTTACCCCAAGGATTAAAATGAAAACCTCTATCTTTTTATCCAAGAAAGAAATAAATAAATAAATAAAATGTCGACCGAACCTGGAGTTTTAAAAGTACCCCTATGGAAACAAATTAATTACATAGGCGACCTCAAATCTAAGGCCATAAATGCAACTAACTAGCGTTTTTCATAATCCACGGCCCACAATCATCCGTTGAACATTCAAGAAGCACAAAGTGGAAGAAAACCCGGTAGAAATTAGGGCTTTTCTTTTCCCCCCAATTCACATACTCTATAAAAGCCCTAGCGGTGTTTAATCGTCTTCCTCAGCTCATCGTCTTCGAAGTTTGATCTCCATTTTTAAGCTTACAAGAAATCATGGTGAAGGGTCCTGGTCTATACACTGACATTGGCAAAAGAGCCAGAGGTTCGTTCCCTTTCAACTCCTTTTTTTCTCTCCTTAAATGTAACATACAGATGTGTATATATATGTGTGTGTAATTCAGCTTGAAAGGATTGTAAATATTGCTGTTATTGGATTCACATTTCCTGATTTAAATTTGTTTTTTTTTGTGATGAAGATCTTTTGTACAGGGATTATCAGGCCGATCATAAGTTCACCATCACGACCTATTCACCTACTGGAGTTGTGAGTTCTCTTTTCGTTTTTCGTGTCTTTAGATCTGTTTGATTACCTTATGATTCGACATTGTTAGAAGAATGCATGCTACTTTGAGTGATTGTGGTTATCATTTACGATATATGCTTCTACTGGTTTCCCTATAATTTGAAATTGTAAGGCGTTTTTTATTAACATTTTAAAAACATAACAACATGCAGTCTCTGATATGTGTGGAAAGTATTAGGCTGAAAGGACTGAAGAAAGCTTAATAATTTCCATTTTGTGGACTAGATTTCTGTAAATGAGGTTTATGCAACTCACTACACTGTGTAGTTGCTTTACCTTTATTTTATATTCTATGTTGCTGAAGCATCTGATTCTGATATCAAATAAAGATAAATATGTCTGTTAGAAAGTATGAATCTGTACATCATATAATATTCTCTTCTTATCACAGGCAATCACATCCTCTGGAACAAAGAAAGGTGAACAATTTCTTGCTGATGTCAACACCCAATTAAAAAGGAACAACATTACTACAGACATCAAAGTCGACACAAACTCCAATGTAAGATCTCTCATTCATATATTGTTTTGCTATTTCATCTTTTATAGTAATTGTTTTTTTTTTTTAACTACTTACAACATTAATGTAGCTCTCCACAACCATTGTAATTGATGAACCTGCTCCAGGTTTGAAAGCAATCCTTAGCTTCAAAGTTCCTGATCAAAGATCTGGCAAGGTATATAATAAGTTTAGTGTTGTTAGAATTGAGTCCTTTTTTTGAATAACATTTATATTAAAATGGCTGATTATTTTCTATTTTTTTATAGTTGGAACTCCAATATTTGCATGACTATGCTGGAATCTGCACAAGTATTGGGTTGACTGCAAATCCAATTGTCAACTTTTCTGGTGTGATTGGAAACAATGTTACTGCTATTGGAACTGATGTTTCCTTTGATACCAAAACTGGAAACTTCATCAAATATAATGCTGGAATTAGCTTTTCCAATGCTGACCTGATTGCTGCTTTGACCCTGTGAGTACTACTGACTACTGAGTAGTCAATTCTTTTTTAATTATAAGTTATTATTTTATGTGTTGTTTATATTATACATAAAATAACATAATACAGGAATGATAAGGGAGACTCATTGAATGCATCATACTACCACACTGTGAAACCATTGACCAACACAGCAGTTGGTGCAGAAGTCAACCACATCTTCTCAACCAATGAAAACACAATCTCGGTTGGGACCCAACACGCATTGGACCCGTTGACCACGGTCAAAGCCCACATCAACAACCATGGAAAAGCAAATGCTCTTATCCAACATGAATGGCGCCCTAAATCACTATTTACCATTTCGGGTGAAGTTGACACCAAAGCTGTTGACAAGAGTGCCAAATTTGGACTTGCATTGGCTCTTAAGCCATGATAATAACTTTTGAAGGTTTTTAAATCATCTTTATATTATACTTTTGGCAGTTTTCTTTTTCTTCAAGGTAGAAATAATTTCGTGACAGTTTTTTTTTTTTTTTTTTTTTTTTTTTTAAACTATGCATAATGTCTACTTGACCATAGATGGTAGATATATTTGCAGAGGTTTGTGTAATTGACTTGACCATGGAGTAACTGTTTTGTGCCAAAAGTGTTTTTTTTGCTTGTATTGATTTGGTACTGATGCGATTCTTGCTGTTAATCTCTTTTGGTTTGAACATTTAAAATTTTCTATGTTTTACTTGAAAATATTTTTTATGATTAGTTGCATCAAGGTAGTTCCATGATTTGTTTTAACTTTTAAGCTTTAGAATATACACACAATTTGAGAAACAAGGTTAGTAAAATTTCTGTGCTAATCTCCAACTACTAATTGTTTGTTTTGTCCTTCGTTGTTTTCTGTTGTCAAGTGCTTTCTTGACTTTTGATTTACTCAAGGTTGTTAAAATTGAGGTTATATGTATGATTGTTGTTTTTTACTTTGCGAGATTGTGACTGTAATGTGGGGCTGGATCAGATTGAAAAATTATATCAAAATGACTAATTTCTTGTATGAGTTATATAGAAAAAAATAGTTATATCGTGTTGGTGGATCTTGAAAACGACAGCAAAAGTAGGCAAGTAATTTCATCATTATATAAACTTTAAGTTCATTAGTATACAATGTTCGTGTTTGGTAAAACTAACGGGTAGTATGTAGATGACAGTAAATAGCTGATAGCTTGTATTAAATGTATTGTTTTGTTAAATGTTGTGCGAGATAAGTTTTAGATTTGAAATGTTTTGTTTAAAGTAAATGTTAAAAACATGTTGTATTAAATGCTACGTGAGATTACTTTTTGTTTAAAGTAAATGTTAAAAACATGTTGTAGTAAATGAGACTTTTTGTTAAAACTAAGGGGTAGTATGTAGTGGACATTAGATAGCTCGTAGCTGGTAATGTTTTTGTTAAATGCTACGTGAGATTACTTTTAGATTTGAAATTTTTTTGCTTAAAATAAACATTAAAAACCTATAGTATCAAATGAGACTTTTTGTTAAAACTAATAGATAGTAAATAGTAAGATAGTTGGTAGTTGCTAACGTTTTGTTAAACGCTGAACGTTTTGCTAAAGGTTGTACTATCAAATGAGACTTTTTGTTAAAACTAACAGGTGGTATGTAGTGGTTAGTAGATAGCTGGTAGCTGATAATGTTTTGTTAAACGCTACGTGAGATAACTTTTGAATTTGAGAAGTTTTGTTTAAATTAAACGCTAAAAGCATGTATTATCAATTGAGACTTTTTGTTTAAAGCGAAATATTTTGTCAAACACTAGAAAGTAAAAGCTTTACAAAGGGTGATTAAAACGCCCCAAGTAACAAAGAATTTTCTATCTTAATAAGGATGAATTCTTATTGCAAATTAGTAGATTGGGCGCAACAAGCGGAAACATCTTGGTTACCTTATCAATATAAAGAATTATAATTTATAAATGTAATTGATGTCTTATTTCAATATGAATATGTGATTGCGGCGGTATTATATAAAATGTACGCCAATTTTTAATGACATTGAAAAAACCAATTCTTTAAGAGAAGAAATATGAATATCATGCATGTTTTTTCATCTCATAGAACTTACTGATGTATAGAAACTTTAAATTTATATAACTTTTAACATTTTTCAAAAATGAAATAAAAATAAAATGAATATTGATATATTTTTATTTGGACAAAATTGCAAAAATGGTCCTTTTGTTATGCATTTTTTTGGGGTTTCAGTCCAAACCTCGACTTTTTTGGATTCATGGTCCTTTTGGCCTAGTTTGTATGTAGAAATGGTCCCCCGACTTAACTTCCATTAAGTTTTTGCTGTTAACCCCCTCATGTGCATCTCACATGAGGGTATATTTGTCTTTTTACATATAAAGGACCATTTTTGCACCTAAAAAATAAATCCTATTTTTTTAAAAAGTTAAAATTAATACCTATTTATTTATTTTAATAATTAAAAAATAAAAAGTTCTCTCTCAACCCAAAACACTCCACCCATCTTCTTCTTCATGTTCAGTAACCTACATCTAAAGATCGATGAAGAACTATGAATCATATCTCCCCCACCATACCTATGTCTCCTCTAAGTCGCATCTTCCCCCTCATTTTTTTCTTTCTCTGATGAGACCATCTTCTGCCTCTGGCCAAGCCTTCACCAGCGACGACATCGACTTCATCCTCTTCAATCTCCACAACATCTCCTGTACCCTGCACCTTCACCATTTGAACTACATCTTCTTCCTCTTGCCTCTCCACCAGCCACACGCATCATCAAATATACCCATTATGACCTAATTGATTTGACAGTTAATATGTGTGAAATTAAGAACGGGATGGAGGGTGCCCCTTTTTTCTCAAGATCGACGTGCGTTCCCTTTTTCTCAAGGTCAATCCAACCATCTTCTCTTTCATTTTTCTGTCCAATCACACGAAAAAAATCAATATCAGCCCCTTCCCTTTCAATCAGCTTGCAGGTGTGCGTGTGTGTGTTTTTTCTCTCTAGTCGGCCCAATAACTCAATAAGAATCAAGATAGATCTATTTGTGTTGAATTTGTAGGTCCGATTTAAGAGAAAAAAGAAAAAGGAATAACAAGATGGGGGAGGGAACATGTGTTGGTTGTTTGGTGCTTCTTTCACACAGGTATCAATAATCATGGCTGGAATGGAGAATTAATTGTTGTATTGAGGCTGTTGTGAAGATGATGGTTAGTTTAGGAATGTTGGTGGTCAGAATGGATTCTTGGTGGGATTTTGTCTTTTATCCTCCAAAGGAACAAATTGAAGATAATTGTTAGATCATTCATCCCAGGTTCATCGGTTATGTGTTATTTAGTTTTAAGTGTGTTTGTATGTGGCTTGATTTGCAGAAGAAAGATGTAATGAAGAAGACGATGAGAGAGAGACCTTTTCATTTTTTAATTATTAAAATAAATAAATAGGTATTAATTTTTTTTTAAATGGGATATATTTTTTAGGTGCAAAAATGGTCCTTTATATGTGAAAAGACAAATATACCCTCATGTGAGATGCACATGAGGGAGTTAACAGCAAAAACTTAAAGGAAGTTAAGTCGGGGGACCAATTCTACGTACAAACTAGGCCAAAAGGACCATGAATCCAAATAAGTCGAAGTTTGGATTGAAACCCCAAAAAAATACATACCACAGGGACCATTTTTGCAATTTTGTCTTTTATTTGTATTATTTTTTTAAATGAAACTAAAATAAAATACAATATAACTTGTAAAAGGTAAATAAATAAAATAAAATAACTAAAAATATCTAGAGAGGGTTTTGAGTGATTGACGAGGAGGGGGTGCCCTCATTTTATGCGTGTTGCGCACGTTTACAATTATACAGTTAAAATAGTCATTATGATTTTTTTTAGATATGTTCGAATTTACCTTTTTAATCATATTTTTTGATAACTTTATATATAATCATAGTTTACGAAAGAAAAAATTAAATTATACATATGTAAACCTAGTTTAGAAAACAATAAAAAAAATATTTATTGGTATTTTTCTTATTATTTAATACTAGATGTGTGTGACATCCCCAAAATCACGGCCAGAAAAGACCGGTTTCATTTATGCTTTTAAAATAATTTCAGAGTAAATTCATTGATTTAAAAGAGTTGCGGAATTTGTTCGAAAAAAAAATGATAAAATAAAGTTTAACAAAGCATTTCATCAAGAGATGCATTTTCATTATATAACAATATTCGGTATGTCATGTTCTGATAAACAGACCAAAAGCATAAACAACAAAAGATAGACCATACAACAGTTACATATAACAACTAGTCTAATATCAAAAGATCTTGATAAGTCATCCAACTTATGCTCTCGCGCCACTACTTGTAATACAACAAAACTGAGTGGGTCAGGCTTGGGAGCCTGGTGAGCATATAGGGTTTTCAACCCACAATAAATAATTATATTTAATTTCACCAACCAACAATAACCCGATTACCCATTCCCGTTATCCTCACTTTACGTCCCTAAAACAACATCTATCTCAAGGGACCTAATCTAGGATTTTTTTTTCATCGGGACGGACATTACTGCAAGGGGTTTCCTCAACAATAGATGTCTTAAAGGCAACCATGAGGGGGATAGAGTACACCGGTGAACATCAAGCCCGCAACACCTACAGGTTATGAACCTGCCAGCGTTCCACAGGACAATCTAGAAAGAGTCCGTGGTCGTCATCCATACTCCGCTAGATGACTAGATTAACAACAACAACATCGAGGCCTCTCATCATTTTATCACACATCAACTATCTACCCATGCTTTACCCCAACATTTTAGTAGATAAAAATATATATATAAACATACATATACAACTTTAAATCATGTATAATATATCCATTCAATATTCAAACCAGATAACAGATAATATGCAACACATAGCACATATTCTTATAGAGATACTTCATATCTATGTGTTAGAAGAAAGTAACTACACACTCACTTGATCAGAAGATGATCGGACAACACTACGGCTTTAAAAGTAGTATTCTTCGGTGGATCCGGGATATCTTCACACACTGGACTTCTCGCGGGCAGAGCTTCGGCTCGGAAACTCTTTTCTTCTCGGGATCTTCGAGCTTCGGGACTTGCTTCGGGTCTCGGGATGATACCGGGCCTTCGGGGGTACTTCTTTGCACGTAAATCGAGGTAATATGGGTGAGAGAAGGGTGAATTAGCAACCTTGGCCGGCTACCCCTTCAAATCTATTTATAGGGCAAATTTCTCATTTTCCACGTCGTGGACACTTCTTCCACGTCGTGGGCTTGGTCGTCATTGCATGCGTCATCGTCCACTTGCTCTGTCAGGCTCCAAAAGGCGTTAGAAGCCATGCCACGTCGTGACCACTGTTTCCATGTCGTGGTCTCTGACAGTTTTGGGGTTTCGCGCGCCGAACTTCAGAAATTCATAACTTTCGCATACGAACTCCGTTTTCGACGTTCTTTATATTGACGCG